GGATGGCATCCCTTCCCTCCATTGAACCAGCCCTTCCTATTGAACCAGCCAGTGCAGATTCAGATTCCAAGGAGATTCCTTGTTGGGTTTTAGTAACACCGACCTTTAGCAAGTAACACAAGCCCTGAAAGTAAAGAAAACACCCATCCCCTACTGTACCGTAAATCTCAGTCCCGCATACAAACCCCATTATTTGCACGCAGCTCTGACTCGCAGCTGCTCCCTCCACCACAGAAACACATTAGGCACCGACAGATACTTCTACTCTTACTGGCCTTGATGGAAGAACTCCTCTGTTACTTTTTCGCTCCACTGCTTGCTCAGCTCCCACGTCCGGCATGGATTACAGATGTCCGCGCACTTCAGAGCCATCTGAGCAAGGTAACGCACGGCGTTAGACCACCGTTCCCTCCAGCAGGAGCATCTCTAATTATTTATTTCCCAACAGCAGATTATTTTAAAGTCTGGTCTATATACGTATATTATAGACCATAATGCTACCACTTGAGCTTCCCTACAGAGTTATGGTCTATAATATTTAAAAAACAACCATCAGATCTCGTGAGTAATACGGGAATTCAGCCAAGTCAAAGCACTCTGGGGGCACCGTATTTAGCACATCCACTAGTACAGGAGACAGCGATGCATTCAGAAAAGCAAGCAAGCAGTATTTTTGCAGTTCTAGCTCCAAAGTTTGCGTTTTTAACAGCGGCTGGCACAGGACTAAACTTACCCATTCGTCCGCTTTCTCTCAGCACTCACAATACGAACCTAAAAAGTCTCTACAAACCTAGAGAGGCTCTCAAGGCTTTTGTTTTTAGAGCTTGCTAACCCTCTCTGCGGCAGAGCTGTAAACCGATTCCCGACAGCAGAGCCCTCCTCTCACCAGACAGGTTCTGACAAAGCAGTCGGCAGCTCTGAGGCTGCACTGGAGTCGTCAGGAGAGCTAAACCTCGCCTCGGCCACACTACCCTCCTTGGTCCAGCGGCTCTAAGCCAGCAGATGTACCGACACGCACGACGGCGCCTGGGAGAAGCGCTGGGAGGGGGGAGACGGAAGCGGAGGGAACAACCTTTTGGTAATGAAACACAATGACTAAAAGATATTTCTACTTCATTTTCAAAGTAGGAGAGCGCCTAGAAGTAGTAGTATTTAGCATTTTAAATTAATTATTTTTTAACGCTAAAATGATGTTTTCAAGAAGATCACCAAAAAGATCACCTGTAAGATGAAGTGACGGTGGTTCGCGTTCTCCAAACATAGGTCTCCTCTATCCAAATGGGATCGAAACATGGACAGATACTCATTTTGCTGACTGATGTCTGTGGCAAGAATGAGATCACCGATCTGGCTTTCCATCAACTGCCTGAAATCAGGATAGCAAACGTTCAAACAGCGTGACACTGCGAGCAGCGGACACGTAAACCTAGTGATGGCCATCACATTCATTATTGCACAAATACACGCCACAATCTTTATAATCACCATTTTCACTGAACTGTTTCTTTTTCGTTGTTGTTGCCTCTGAAAAATTCCTACAACATCCATAGAAATATCAGGACATTACATTGGCAGCTCTCAGCTAAACCAGTTTTTAGCTCCTCCTCTCCCACTTTCTGTCCCCTTAAAAATGCACAAACTAATTGTTTAAAGCAGGTGAAGCAGCCAGGTTGGATGAGGCTTTGAGCAACCTGGTCTAGTGGAAGGTGTCCCTGCCCATGGCAGGGGGGTTGGAACTGGATCGTCTTTAAGGTCCCTTCCAACCCAAACCACTCTGATTTTCTGTGTATCTTTCTGAAGCTGGTCTCTTAAACGACAGTTGTGGCGACAGAACGAGGAAAAGCTGCCAACTTTAATCTAAGCAGGTGCCTGACCTCTACGAATACGCTTTTTCGGGGTGCTTGTAGTAAATGTTATTTTTCCAAACATCACATTGCACCGTGAGCTGCTCTACTCCAACAGCACAGTATCCGGGAATTCTTAAAACAGGTCACAATCTACGTCTGCTGTTCAGAACCGCCGTGCCGCAATTCAGCTCGGTTCGCACGGCTGCCTTCAGGGAGTGGCAGCTTGCTCCCGTCTTCAGCCGGTGCGGAGGGGTTGGTATGAACGTACCTGTTTTCTAAGGACATGTGTGCAAATAAACCCGACTCTCTCAGCAACCCCACTGCTGATCTCCAGTGATGGTTCTCCAGTACTGAGGTATTCTGCCAATGAAAAGGGTAATACAGCTATCAGTCAACAGCTTTGTCTTAAACTGAAGAGCCACATCCCAAGAGGGTACCAGGCAGCATCGTTGGGGTTTGGGGGTGGTGTTCATCTACCTTATTTTCATTCCCCACCCCCCAAGGAGGTTAAAACCCACAAATCTCAAATACATTGTTAGCCTGCACATTTTTATCCCAGTGGCATGTCTGGATTCAAACTTACCACCGGCTAAACACATCCCAGTTTATACTCCCTTTCTGTATTCCTCAGGCACTGCCCAAACCCACTTTTAACAGAACAACCAATTCTGTCCTTACCTTATATAAAGTTGCTAAGTAATGGTTTGTTTTAATTAGGAAAGGTTGGTTAACGCCTGGGTGATCCAAGTCGTGTGTGGCAGCTGCTATCAAACTGAGCAGGACATCCCAGGGAGTTAAAGATTTGGAAAGCTGTAAGACAGTAACAACAAGCGGGGTTCCGTGAGCAACGCAGGCGTGCCCTCAGAATGTGCGCACGCGTGTCACGTTCCTGTCGGGGTTTTCGGAATTAAAAGCCATGAGTAACTCAGAAAAACGTTAATTACATAAAACTAATATCCCCCTGACGTTTCGCAGTATTTCCCCCCCACCAAAGCCACAAAAACTCAACGATGGTTTGAGCATTATCGTTATCTGAATGGGAAGGTTCAGTCTTAAACGCTGGCGCACAAAGCGCTGCTTTTTGGCTGGGAATGGCACACTGCTTCTAACCAGATCCCATGAAAGCCGCAAATTCTTAAAAAACCAGCTCTCCATCCCGTTTAGCAAGGTTGGCCGTATGTGCCAATTCTGCGTCAAACACAGACTGTGTTTTAAAAAACATAAACACCTTTCATCTTAAAAGGAAGAAACTAATGCTCTGGAAGACTTGAACTGTTCAGAATGGATTTCTGCTCTTACAAGAAGTTGTATTTCAAAGGCTGCCAGGAAAAGAACCAAAGAGGGAAGAAGTGCCAAAACCAAGTATTTTCAAGCAGCAGGCACAGGTCGAGCAACCCGTCACAAAACCACAGAGCCTTATTTTCTCCGTCCACAGCTATTGCTGTTTCTGATTGGGAGGTCAGAGTTCGACTCAGTAATAAAGTGCAGCTTGCCCCTGTGCTGGATTCAG